TCATCTCAATTGATGCGGAGAAAGCATTTGATAAAATACAACATCCTTTTATGATTAAGACTCTCAGTAAGATTGGTATAGAAGGGTCATTTCTGAACACAATAAAAGCAATCTATGAAAAACCTACAGTTAACATTATGCTGAATGGGGAAAAGCTGAAAGCACGCTAGAAGTACATGTGTGTGTGTGTGCATACCTAACACCCCAAAAGAGAAATGGTGATGGGATTGAGGAGTGACCCTCTCCCTCGAGGGTTTGTTCTCACTTTCCCTCTCTCTCTGCTTCTGTCTCTCTGATGAGTACCCATGCCCTCTAGCAAACTAAAAACAAACAAACAGGGGCCAGCAAGTGGCATGGTGGTTAAGGGTACTGGGCTCCCACATGGTTGACTGTGGTTTAAGTCTCAGACCTGGAAGTTAGGCTCGCTCTCTCTCTCTCTCTCTCTCTCTCTCTCTCTCTCTCTCTCTTCCCTGGTCAAATTAAAAATAAATAAATAAATAAATAAATAAAGTTAAATAAAATAATTCTTAAAAAAAATGAAAACAGTACATAATTTCCTGCTATTATCTCTGGATAAGAAATGGCTCTGCACAGAGTGGCCTTCTTTTGTTGACTAATTCTGGGACACAATCACATTGCCTCAACTGTGGCTTCAGTGAACCACAAAACTGCATAATCTCACAAATGGCAATGGGTAACTTACGTGATCCATCAGGAGTAAATAACTGGAAGTGATTCTGATGCCAAGAGAGGAATATTTCACTCTGTCAAGTTTGTCTAAAAGTTCTCGGAGGGTGAGCAAAGCCTGCATGACCACCATGTTGTCTTTGGAGAGCAAGGCATCCAGGATGGATGTTAACATGCTGCAGGAACTTTCTATCTAAGTATGAAAGGAGGAAAGGGTGTATTTGAGAACCACAAGGAGATGAGCTGGCATTAGCCACACCCCTCTGAGTCTGGGCAGTCCTGAAGTGTGCTGGAGGTGACCCACAGGGTTGAACTGTCAAAAGTTTTGTAAGCCAATCCCTTAAAAAGCTACTATTAAAAATTAAATTATATGAATTTATATTTAAAATAAAAATAATAAATTACCATTCTTTTAGTTAGTTAGTTAGTTTTTGCTATATGATGCCTGTGCTCACCAGAGTCAGAGGGAGAGAAAAGGATGGCCACACTGCAATCTCATCTCCTCCAGCCTCCTCCTGAGATTTTTGGGCATGCACACACACACATGAACAATGATTTTCAAACTGCCAAGTCCTAGACTCAAATTACATAGTGGGGGGACCAGCAGTTAGTGTAATGGCTATGTCTCTGGACTCCCATGTAGTTGACCGTGGTTCAAGTCCTGGACCCAGTGGCTTAAACTCATGCCGGGCATGTGTGCATGCGTGCCCAAGATCCCGGGAGGAGAATGGAGGAGAAGGGATTGTGGTGTGGCTATCCCCCCTGGGGATTAGGATCTAGTGTTTTAACCTCCATGCCACAGGCTGGCCCTCCATTTCCAATTCTTTTGCAATATTTTACTATTACCCATGCTCTTGAGTATCAATAGTAGAAATATTCAATAATGATGTGCTGTTGAACATCTCTTCTCAAGGTCATGTTTAGTAACATTTCTTACATTTCTTTTGTTGTTGTTGAGAGGTTTTCACTATAGGGTGCGTGCACTTGCCAGAAAGACAGAGACAGAGAGATAGAAAGTGAGAAATCATCCCCCAGGGAGGATGGCCATGCTGCAAACCCTTCTCCTCCATTCTCCTTTTGGGATCTTGGGCACGCATGCACACACGCCCAGCGTGAGTTTAAGCCGCCGGGTCTGGGACTTGAACTGCAGTCAACTACGTGGGAGTCCAGCAACACAGCCATTACGCTAACTGCTGGTCCCAGTAACATTTCTTTGACAGTCATAGTGGGAACATTTACACCAGAGAAATTGGTCTTCCTTCCACAAAGCAGGTTGCTATATATTTACCAGCACAATGCTGGCAGTATGATCTCTGAACTACATGACAATGACCCATGGACATGAGAGCTGCAAGGGCTGCTGAGGCAGGCCTTGGGAGTCAGCTGCAGATTAGAGCTAATGGACAAGAAGGCAAAGGAGAACACAAAAATGAGTTCACAAAAAAATAGAAGAGAAAGAAATAAAGGAAGAAAAGAAGAAAAAGAATGAACATTATTGAACAAAATAACAGCTTGAAGGAAACAGCAGGGTTAAGGAGCCCACTATGTTTGGTGGAAAGTTACATCCTTACTGAGAGTACATGAAACCTCAACCCAGGTTAGTCTCCACTGTTTCTCTTCCATTCTCCTGGCTAACATTGGCCCAGAATCTCCCTTTCAGCTGTTAACATTAGGAAGAACAGTGAGCAAAGTAAAAATATCTTGCTGCTTACTAACAGAATGTAACTGTCAGTAAATCTATTGGCTTCTATGAGGTATGTACAGCAGACAGACCATGGCTCATGTTATTCCAAGCCAAATTGCAGATCCACTGATGGTCTTCACTCATCCAGAGGCTACACTCAAAAGGTAACCAGTATTTATTACTAGATTATTATTAAACCAAGCACAACATATGGAACATATACACTCTCAACGTTGTGCAAAGTACTTTAGAATTTAGAATGGCAAACCATAAAGCCATGGTTAGACTCTGGCCTAGAAGGCAAGAAGGTTTTTTGTGAGTCAGTGGGAAGCAGTAGAAGACAGGTTCTTACTTTACCCTGTACTAGTCATAGAGGGCTTTTGAAACACAGTCTGGTGGATCACACTCCAAGAATTTCTGATTTTGTGGACCTAGGGTGGAGCCTGACTATTTGCATTTCTAACATGTTTTCAGATGATACTGATACTGATACTCTGAGGACCACTGATATGAAATACTAGATTAGCCAGTGCACGGTGCTAGTAGGTGTCATAGTGGTTAAGATATTGGACTCTCACATGGTCCAGCTTGGTTCGAATCCTGGACATAAAGGCTCGAAACTCAGGCAGGTATGTATATGTATGCTCAAAATCCTGAGAGAAAAATAGAGGAGAAAGGATTGTGGTGTAGCCATCCTCCCAGGGCATAATTTCTCACTTTCTGTCTCTCTATCTGTCTCTATGTTTCTGGTGAGTGCATGCACCCTATAGTAAAAACTCTCAAAATAAAAAAGAAAAGATCAGCTAGTGCTTCTGGGTGGGATGGCTCTGAGAGGGACAAGGTTGTTGATGATCAGAATATTCAGTAAAATTTGATTTGAGCTGATCATTGCAAAAGAAGAAAAATGTGATTATGCATGGATGAAGGAGGAAAATGCTGAGTGGAGAACAAAACTCAAGCAAATGGCTCTGAAGGCAGGAATTAATGTGATCTGTGTCTGATGGAGGCACAGTTAACTTATGCTTGTATGATTTAGACTATAAGAGTGTTTGTGTAGGGGGATGATGATAAATTCTGGGTGCAGTGAATAATTTTCTGAAAAAATATAAATAAGGTGATAAAGCTATTAATTTGGCTGAATTTTTCCTTTTTACTCAATTCACTTTCCTTATTGATAAAATGCCAGAAATGATATTAGCTTAGATGTATAGGAGCAAAATAATCAGCATTTTGTCAATAAAGATACTTAATAATATCAGAATCTCAAGTCCTTCTTTCTCTTTTTTAAGGTTTTTCATTAAGGCCTGTGCCAGAGAGACAGAGAGTGAGAGGGAAAATGAGAAATCACCCCTTGTGGGGGGGTGAGGTGTCCACAATTCCTTCTTCTTCATTTTCCTTCTGGGATTTTGAGCATGTACACTAACACACCTGGCATGATTTTCAAGTTGTCAGGTCCTGGACTTGGACCATAGTTGGCCGTATGTAAGTCCAGTGCACCTTAACCTCTAGTCTACCTGGTGGCCCCAGATTCTCAAGCTTTGATTCCAATAATGCTTGCAGGACAAACCAAACACACTTACCTCATTGATAACTGGAGCCATGCTGGCGATTTTCTGAAGGCTCAGTTTGCTAACTGTGGGACTGGAATCGTTAGCCCACTTTCTGTAAAGAATCAAAAATTCTTCTGGGAATGGGTCCTTCAAGAAGTTGTTCAGAAGCTGAAAGAAAAACATTACGTTCAAAAGACAAGTAGAGGCCAAATTTCACAAGTTGTGCCTGTCATAAAAATAAGAACATTTTCAGTAAAACTGTAACACTAGTCACACTAAAATGTCAAATACTTATGTGTATTCCCACACATTTCTGTTCTCATAGAAGAAAGAGATACAGCAAAAAGAACAGGAAATAGATGCTTTGCAAGGTTGTTGTTTTGTTTTGATTTATTTATATTACTATATTTTGTTTCTCTGCATTATTGGAAACCAAGTGGCCCACTTAAATGATCCCCTCTCCCAGCCTGTACTCGGGCAGGTGGATTTCTTGTTAGCGTATGTTTCCATACACAGGTGTGATGCCTGGCCTGGCCCATGTGCTGTGCTGTAGATGATATAGGGCGAGCAGAACAGTCTCAGTCCCTGACTCTTTGGAGCTCCCTGACTCACTGGAGACACTGATACTACAGTAAGTTTGAATGAAAACAGAGTTTGCAAACATTTACAAAACAGAGTTGCAAACTCTGTTTTCATTCAGAGTTGCCTCAGAGCATTTATGAGAGTATTATCTTGAGACTCTGTGGTATAGGCTGAATTTAGGATGAAGAGTGATGTTTGATTTGGAGTTAAAAGCAGAGTTGTCATTAGCTAGAAGGTAATTCTCATGTGCAAAAGTCCTGGGGTGGATGAAACAGAGTGTGTCTGAGCAGTTGATAGGTGAATATTAGGAAAGGGATGACTGAGCAGGTGAGGCATCCTAGAACTTGGACACCAGGCTGAAGAGGTTTAACTTTTAACAGTAAATATTCAGACATGGTTATTATAAGCTGCCATGCCTCTCATAACTGACCATCAAAATATGCATATTTTAAAATGTCATAGAAACACAATGATAGTTATAAAACCATAATTTCAAGAAGCAATTTTAACCTTTTTTTAATTTATTTTTTAGAGAGCTTTTTGCTATAGGGTATGTACACCCACCAGAGAGACAGAGAGACAGAAAGGAAGAAATCACCCCCTAGAGGTGATGGCCATGCCACAATCCTTTATCCTCCATTCTCTTCTAAGGACTTTTGGCACACATGCACATGTGCCTGGCATGAGTTTTAAGCTGCCAGGTCTGGGACTCAAACTGTGTTTAACTAAGTGGGAGTCCAGCAATGTAACCATTACATCATCTGCTGTTCCCAGGAATAATTTTAAGTAACAACAAGTAAAAGTATGCAGAATGAGGATGAGAGCACAAGAGACAGTGAGAGAGGAAGAGAGAACATATCTCTTCAAACATCCAATCTCTTTTCAAACATCTGAAGAACTTTAACAATAATTAAATGTCAAAAAGACCAATAGCACCCCTAAAACAAAATATTTACAAAGCAATTTTTAAAAATCACAGTGTAGTAAAGGAAGAAACTAAGAGTTTAAAGAAATAAAACAAAATACAAAAGAAAGGGGGAAAAGAAAGTCTAATCAATTGGAAACAAGAAACCCTCTTCCAATTTGTGGGTCAAAATCTTAAACCACAGGGGGAAAAAATCAAGGACTGCTATGAAACAATAAAAACAACCTAAAACTATACAGAATAGCAGGTACTTATAGTTGAAAGCAAACACATAATTTGCCTTTAAGTAATTTATTTCAAAAGAAACACTACAATGATCAAATTATTTTCTGAAATGAAGAGAAGCAAACTACTTCAAAAGATAATATAGTGCCAAAGAAAACTAGTGTTAAATAATAAAGATAAAAGCAAAAAATAATTGAATTGGGAAATGAACAAAAAAAACACAAAAGAATCAATGTAATGCCTTGTTCTTGAGGAAAAGAACTATTAAACAGCCTTTTGATATATATACTGTTAATAAAACACAAAGAAAATGAAAAGTGAATAAAAAGTGTGGATTATATTTAAAATGTAAAGAAAATACTCTTCTGGGAACCAGCAGTTAGCGTAATGGCTTTGTCGCTGGACTCCCACGTAGTCGACCGCGGTTCGCGTCTCGGACCCGGTGGCTTAAATCTCACGCCGGGCGCGTGTGCGTGTGTGCCCAAGATCCCGAGAGGAGAATGGAGGAGAAGGTATTGTGGCGTGACCATCCCCCCTGGGGGGTGATTTCTCGCTTTCTGTCTCTATGTCTCTGTCTGTCTGGCGAGCACACGCGCCCTATAGCGAAAACCTCTCCAAAAAAAAAAGAAAAGAAAATACTCTTGTTAATGTTTTTCACCCAAGATGAGCCCAGTTTGCTTGGGACCAGCTGGTGTGTGTTACTCATGCCTGGGCTTCACACTAGGTAGACTCTTTGTTAGACCTTAAGAACTACTGTTTGTGGGACCAGCAGTTGGTGTAAAGGCTATGTCGCAGGACTCCCGTGTAGTTGACTGTGGTTCGAGTCCCAGCCCCAGTGGCTTAAACTCACACCAGGTGCATGTGCATGTGTGCCCAAGATCCTGAGAGGATGGAGAAGTAGGGATTGTAGCATGGCCATCCCTCCTGGGGGTGATTTCTCCATTTCTGTCTCTCTCTGTCTATCTCTCTGGCGAGCACACATGCCCTATAGCAAAAATCTATCCAAGAAAAAGAATAAAAAAGAACTTTGGTAGGGATTATATGGTTAGTGCAGTGGTAATGCAAATGGTCACACGTAGGAAGGTCCCTGGTTCAAATTTGGAGGACTCCCTGAACATGTCGGCCATGTATGCATGGGCCCATGATCAAACTGGCTGTGGTAGATCATAGTGTGACATCTCAGTTGGGGATACCTGTCTCATGGAAGACATAAATAAATAAACTTTAAAAAAATTGCAGATTAAGCCAGCTAGGTTATGTGGTGGTTAAGACTCCCAGATCCCGCATGGCCGACTGTGTGGTTTGAGTCCTAGACCCCATGACTTGAAAAAAATGCCAGGTAGATGTGAGTGTGTGTGTGTGTGTGTGTGTGTGTGCCCAAAATCCTGAGAGGAAGATGGAAGTAAAGGGTTGTGGTGTGGCCATCTCTCCTAGAGGTTGCGTTCTCATTTTCCCTCCATCCCTCTTCCTCTCTCTGTCTCTCTAGCAAGCACACATATCCTACTGCAATAAATAAATAAATAAATAAATATTGGGGATCTTTTTGGTCAATTAAGCAAAAAATTTATTTCCAAGTTCTTCAAAGATTATGACAAACACAAAGTATCTTAAAAATGTTCCAAATGAAGTCCAAGGCTCATCACCAAAGTAAAACACTTATGACATGAAGAATTACTTTAAGTTCTAATATTTTCATATTACTTTCTTTTAAACCATTTACAATGTTTGGTAGGTCACATTTCAAACATTTTTAAAGACATGAAATAATTTGGTATTTCTCTTTAAAGTACAATAACAACTACAAAGTAAAGGAACTTAAGACAACAACAATCAAATCTGTTTCATATATAGGAAGGGGCAACCCAAAACATAACATTAATCTTTCCAAACAAGTTTGTTAAGAAACAGCTAGCTATAATCTTTAGTGTTAAAAAATAAATAAATAAAACAATCTTCTCATTAAAAAAAGGAGAGGGGGCCAGCAGTGAGTGTAATGGCTGTGTTGCTGGACTCCCATGTAATCGACCGCGGTTTGAGTCCTGGACCTGGTGGCTTAAACTCACGCCAGGCACGTGTGCGTGCATGCCCAAGATCCTGAGAGAAAGGAGAAGAAGGGATTGCGGTGTGGCAAATCACCCCTTGGGGGTGATTTCTCGCTTCCTGTCTCTATGTCTCTCTCTTTCTGGCAAGCACACATGCCCTACAGCAAAAACCTCTCCAAAAAAAGAAAAGAAAAAAAAGGACAGCATTTGATTAGTAAGCCTATTTTTCCCCCAGTTCTTATTTTCCTTTCTTCACCTAGAAAGTGTAAATTCATAAGAAAATAACAAGTTTTGTTATGCTAAAAACTTCTGTGTCTTAAACAAGAAATTAAAAATAATCCATTTGTTTTAATAAACAAAAATGTCTTCCTTCCCAAAATGTAACCATTCAGTAAATAAAACACACATGATATTCGAAGTATAGAAACATCAGTAATTCACTTGTAAAAGGTGTGCATCCTGGTATATTTGGTAGTAAGTTTTCTGTCCTAAATAGAAAGCACTTTACCAAAAGAACTAGGGTATTATGATTTAAAATTCTACTCTTTCACCTAGTTTCCTTGTTTGAGTAAAAACTTTATTTTCTATAAAATTTTGGCTAGAGGGCTAGGTCCCAGGAAAGGTATGAAATATCTGAAAGTCATTTGGTTAGAGAAAAGTGTTTTCTTGAGACTTGGAGGAAGTCATTCATCTATTAGTGTGTGAGGTTTTTTTTTATTTTTAATTTTTTTCTGAATTCAACTTTATTTATATGATGCTGGCTGGTTAAGACTAAAACAACATAGATGTAGCAATGACTAATCACCACTCCTATCCAAGAGGACACAAAACCTCCTGTTTGCATACAGTAATCTGTGATCTGTTTGTGTTTGAAGACACATTCCTCAGCAAACTTCTCTAAAGTCTTCAGAGCAAAGCACAGTATCTGGGCTCCTGAAAGGGGATACTTCCAGCTGCATCACTGACCTGCAGAGCATCTTTGCAAGCATTCTGCATTCAGAACTGCTCAAGCTCTGTGGCGGCCTGAGAGACCTTCATCCTCTCCATGCCAGCCTCCAGCTTGAGCTGTTCCACTCAGTGCTGCAGAGCAGTCACGTGGCCCTGGAAGACATGGCAGCAGCGGCGGCCCTGGGCTCTCAGGGCTCCCTTAGTATTGGGGATTTTAATAAACCTTTCTAGTAGAGAGCCTGTGACTTATTGCAACAATCTGAAGTTTCAAGTGAAATAAATTATTTTATAAAAATGTATTATCAAACACAAAGAAAAATGCTTACGTAGATTGGGAATCAAGGAAATCCTATCATTATCAATGTGTTATTTCCAAATATGATCAAGGACAATTCTTTTGGAGTCATTACATCAAAATGTAAAGGCATAATTTCCCGTGCAGTTAG